GGTGGGCCATGTTCCAGCCGGGCCCATGTGTCAGTGATGGAACGGCACCCTGCCGTACGGCAGGGGATCCTCGTCCGGGGGGGCGGGGGGTATAGCAATCATAATAAAAGAAAAAACTCTACCTAGGTCTTTTTCTTTCTTTTTAATGCTGCCACTGAACTCTCGAAAATCCTCACATTTCACTTTCCATATTTCTGCAGGTTATGTTCATAATGGATACGGAGAAGAAGCTTTGAAATTGCACATCATAATGCTCAGAGAAGGTACAAAACCAGATCATGCGACTCTTATTGCAACCCTGACAGCATGCTCTGCTCTTGCTTTGCTCAGACAAGGAAGATCAACACATGCTGTTGCCGTCAAAACAATGTTAGAATCTAGCACATCTTTTTGTAATGCTTTGATCACAATGTATAGCAAGTGTGGTGATGTCAGTGAGTCAGAGTTGGTCTTCATAAACCTTAAAAGCCAGGACATTGTTTCGTGGAACACAATGATCGCGGCATATGCACAACATGGCAAATATCAGAAAGCTATTTCTCTCTTCCATGAGATGGAAACACGTGGGCTAATACCGAACGATATTACCATCCTTAGTGTGCTATCAGCATGTGGGCATGTTGGCAGGGTGGATGACAGCTTGGAACTATTTGATCTTATGTCATTCAAATACGCGATATGTCCAGGAGCTGAACACTATGCTTGTATTATCGATATATTGGGACGAGCAGGACAGTTCGAGAAAGCTTGTAGTTACATAAAAGACATGCCATTTGAATCTGAGAAGAATGTTTGGGGTGCATTGTTGGGGGCTTCCAAGACTCATGGCAATGTGCAGTTGGGTGAACTTGCGGCGAAAATGCTTGTGCAGTCAGACTCAGGAAGTTCAGGGCCTTATGTGATGCTTTCAAATATATATGCTGCTGCTGGCATGTGGGGTGAAGTCAATCGAATAAGAGGTCAAATGAAGGAAAAAGGTGTGAAGAAACAACCTGGATACAGCTGGACTGAAATTGCTAATAGAGTTCATATGTTTGTGGGTGGTGATGCATCTCATCCAGAGATGAACAAGATCATATCTGAGCTGAGAAAAATCAGCTTTCATATGCAAATGATGGCCAATGAAACTCATACAATGGTAGAGATGTCCCAGGAATCTAGATAGGGCTTTTCATACTCTTCATGCACTTCATGCACACATGTCATTCGCAGCATCTGCTCAATCAGAGTATCTGTCTGTGAGTTCAAGGATCAAATTTACAGGCCACAGATTGTTTGTCTCAGGTACATGGATTCCCTGCATGGCTTTTAAATAGACGAGTCTAATGGATGTTAGTATCATGATAAACCTGGGTTTTTTTCCTTCAATAAAAGAAGCCCCCCTGCTGTTTATAAAGAAATCGAAACTAGAAAGTAGAAGAAACAGTCTTTAAAGGTAATTTCCATAATCATTTCTATTGATCATGGAAATAATTTTGTTCTGGGTGATAAAACAATCTTGATCCAGTTTTACCTAGGAATTTCTAGCTGCAACCTTGACTGAGATGAACACATGGTTGTCAGGTCAATTAATCCCAAGGAAAGTGCTGTAGTTTTTCTAGCGGACCAGTATTTGGTACTCAACAGAATCATATATGTATTTTAGACATTGGCTAGTGGGATATGCTTGCTGCAATGTTACTTTGATCTATATGAACAGAAGGGACTTTAGACCTCCGTGAAATTTACATCGTTAACAAAGGATTGATGTTCGTCCATGAGCTCTTTATTCCTCTTTTGTTCCCTTTGATGTCATTAATTGGAATTGTCATTGCCGCAAGCGCAAAATTCAATCCACAGAGGATGGTCGGCAGCAAGTTAAAATTATGCATACAGGAACAACCTTAGGGAACAGAGCAGTAGCTGCATATTGGTTTGCTTAAATGGAAGTCACTTGTATATTTTGGTAATCCGGATAAACTGACATTTTCCTTGTGACAACATTGGTCTAGCTGCTGCTGTTGCAAATCCTAGTTTAGTAGCTGCATGCTTTATTTTGCTTTGGATATATAGTGGAGAGATGGTTTTCTAGTTTTTTTATCTCGAGAGCTTATGATTGGGTATGCGGACTGGAATGCAGTTTTATTCGATTTTATATAAATAATGAACTCACAACACATTGACAAGGAGGTTTAGAACTGGGAAATTGGGTATTTATTTTACCTGGTTGTTAAACTATTTCTGTTTAGAGAACAATAGACAAACAACGATTAGGCAAGTTCAATTGCAAATATTCTTAAATTCATAAACAGGTTCTGCAGACTGTTATGACAAGACTAGGACTGCTAAATTGCACATTGCTAGGTTTCTGCATTAGTCTAAAACATAAGAGAATTTCCATATCAAGCTTTGTTATGTGGGGATAGACATACAAACCTACGGGAGGCACAAGAAGGCCACGATGGAAAGAGCCACGCCTGAAACTAAGGGGATAAGCATCCCTAGTTATCCTTGGCAGTTTAAATCTCTTAGAGATATTTCTTGATTCTCAAGTTAGTTATTTACTAAAATCTGTTAGTTCGGCCTAGCCTCCAAGTTGTAAGCTGGCTATGTAATGCACTAATGCCTAGCAATATCAATCAATAGATAACTAGAAAAATAGTCCCAGTTACCCAAGTTTCTCCCCTGCTCTTGTTGTGCGGCAGCCTTGTCTTGGCTACCTATCATCTACCATGTTCATAACAAGCTTTCAGATGTAGCAGATTGAAAGTTGGAGGCAGCATATGTCAAGCACCCCTAGAAACTATGTCGGGTTCATATTTTCACTACCTGTATGTTTTGCATATAGGTTACATTCTCTGTAATTTACATCTGTAAAACTGAATGGATAAAAGGGTTTCTCCGCACTTGGAACATCTCATTTTGTCAAGCATTACAACTAACAAGGGATTTGAAGAAACAAAATGGAATCTAGAGTGTATACTTGTATTTAGTCACTGCCTGGTGCCTGAGGATGCTAGATTACACTTTGAGTTTGAGGGTTTCTTTTCTTCATTATGTCACCAAATTTCCTAAGAATCGTCCTCTTTTGCTGCCTTGCAGGACTCCTGATATCCTTTGAACGAGGAGAGCTTTCAACATCAGAGTACATATTATCTGCTGCCACATATCTTCCTTTCCCGCCGCCTCCCTTGGCATCTATGGGTGATGCTTCTGCCGAGGTTTTGGCCGACTCTGAACTGAACATAGCATCAATCATGTCCTTCAATTCTTTAATGCTACTCTGTGCAGCAGCCTCACTTACCTTCAAGGACTCGTATTCTTGCACGATGCTCTTTAAGGTATTCTCTTTCTCAGACATGTCTTCTTGAAGCTGAGAATTCTCTACCCTGGCAATCTCCAAGGATTCTTTTGCTACATTGGCTTCATTAACCGCATGCTTCAGCATTTCCCTCAGCCTGGAATTCTCATCTCTGATCACTCTCTGTGATTCAAACAGTTTGTCATTCTCTTCTTTTGCTTTGTTCATCTCCCCCTCAAATATCTTGATGCAATCGATGAGTCCTCTCTCTTTCTCTTTTGAGGCTGCTGCCAACTCATCCGACTCAAAGTTCAGTCTGGCAGCCTCTTCCTGTGCCAACCGTAGCTTTTCTTCCATGATTTCCAGAGAGGCCTTTGAGTTCTCCAATTCAGTTGTTGCATTTTTCAACTGAGCTTGCACCATCGAGAGCTCCATTTTTGCCTCTCTAGCTGCCGTGGTTTGTTCCGTCAAGGCTATCGCCAAGTCATCCATGGCTTTCTTGCACTTCTCCTCAGCTTCGACAGCCAACTTGAGGTCACGCTGTAATGAGAATGTCTCCACCTCAGCAGGATCGGCAAAGGAGAAGGACATTACACCCCTTCTTCTGAAATTCCTGGCTGGCTGTCTAGTTGGATTAGAGGACAGTGCAACCAAGGTCTTGTTGTTGTCTTGAAGTGAATCTATCTCAAGCTTGGCCTCCTCCAGAGATACCTTGGTTTGTTCAAGCTGCTTTGTTTGGGCCTCCAGCGACACTAGCATGTTCTTCTCTGAATCCCTTGCTGCCTCCAGCTCAACTTCCAACTGCTCTAATCTGCGTGCAAGGTCCAACTGATCGTCTCCGCTACTCCCTTTTAGCTTCTTCTTCTTACTGCTTTTCTTCTTGAGCTCCTCTATCTCATCCAGTGCACGTACCTTCTCCTCTTTCTCCCTTACCAGCTCCTCCTGCAACTTGTTCAACTGCTCGTGCATATCTGATTCCTCAGTGAAGCGCGGCGTGGAAACTTGGTTCCCACTGGAAGACGACTTGACGCTGTGAACATAAAACAAAGCCCCTGGGTTCATCGATTGTTGACAGTAATCGAAACAAAGAAATAACAACCCAAGAAATTCGACAGAAACCTAAATTTCATGGAACCGCAACCATGATTCATGTTGGCCAACAGATAACAAATGATTCGATGATTCAATGATTCGGATAAGAAAACTCGGGAGGAAACTAAATACTATACCTGGACTTGAAGGAGAACATCTTCTCGGGTCAGGAACGGTGCTGGCAGCCCAGGATCAAGCAATTATGCCACCTGGGTTACTCCTATGAGAATCAGATCACATGCATAGGCGGGAATCAGGTACTGCCCCGAGAAGTCGGTTTGTGCATACCGGAGCGGAGAGAAACTATGGTGGCTGTCTCTCGAAGCAAAGAGACTTTTCTTTATGGCGAAACTTCAAAACAGGGGAGAGAAGCAGAGATCCAACACCGCGTCTTCTGCGCTGTTAAAAAAGGGGAAAAGATGAATCAGAGACTTGTTGAAACGGTCGAACTCCAAGAGCCGCGTTGAAGGTGAAGGGAAGCACGTCCAGAGGCGGTCAGCCAAAGGCACAATACAATTCGCTATTCTAAACAAAAGCGGTGCGATTTTGTTTCCTAACAGATGAGATATACCTATTCTTTTGCCTTGCATTTCTTTATTATTTCTCGATATAAAATGTAACAGTTGAACCGTGCTTCGCTGACCTGAGCGTTGGTGGCCTCAGCTGGGCCAGCAGTCCGTCAGACGAAGGCACACCACTCGTCGGCTTCGTTCAGCATTGTGTGGTTGAATTGTTGTGGGGAAGAATGACGATGCTACTACGAGGCAGGAGGCTCCTTTTATAAACGACGACTTGGCCTGCCCTTTCCCCTTCTAATCAATACTTTACGAATTTAGAATTTAATAATCGAATTATTTATCGTTGCGTGCACGTATTGACCATTAGAATATTGGACTGGTTTGGTGGCATCCTTTTGGAAAGGGAATGCTGGATTAATGTGCATTTCATACATAACATAATTGGTGCTACAGCATTTTGGTTATCCTGCTCCTCCAGCTAACTCTTTGCCAAAAATGCTGGAGCATTTCCTAGTTGTGGATGAACAAAGCCATTAATGTCCTTCTTTTTTTTTTAAAGATAATGTCCTTCTTTTTGGGAAACGAATTGCGGCATGCAGACCCGGATGGGCTGGAGCAAGCCGAACATATGCTGGAGGTGAAGAAACGTCCAAGCCGTGGACAATTAAATACACCCATGGTAACTAAATATAAGATGTTTTTGTAGTTTAAATTGGACTGCAAAAATGAGCATGGCGTTTGGGATCTCGGCCTCCATGGAGGCCGATTTTTTGAAAAATTCAAAAAATTTCAGTAACAAAAAAAATCTGATTTTTTTTTCGTAAAAGTAAAAAAGGATGTGAGGTGTATGTGTGTAAAATTTTAGGTTAAAATGCGACCCGTACAAAAAGAAAAGTTCTTGGTCTGAAAGGATGAATATTATCATGTGTTAAAAAGCCTCAGATTTGTTTTTCCTTCACAACCCTCATTTCAATGTATTTTATCCTGAAAATTTACACACTTGTGCATTATGCCTTCATCTATAACTGTTTTTTTTTCAATTTCTTGAAATGTAAAACAGTGATTTTTCATGAATTTTGCATTTGATGGCCTCCATAGAGGTCGGCCTCCAAAAGCAATTTCTCTGCAAAAATGTCTTATATTTAGTTACGAAGGTAGTAATAATTGATTTCTAGTCAAAGATCGTAGAAAAAAAGAATTCACACTTAAAACGGGCCTTAGTACTACCTCATTGTTTGTTAGGACCCGCATCCTAAGGGCAAGGATGATACTAAGTAGTGCCAACTCTAGGCTATGTCAATCTAATAGTCTACTCATATACTTTGTTAGCTATGGAAATATATTGTAGTACTCACTTCGTCTCATAATATAAGAGCATTTTTTACACTAGTGTAGTGTCAAAAACGTTCTTATATTATACTACTCCCTCCGTTCCTAAATATTTGTCTTTCTAGAGATTTCAAATGGACTACCACATACGGATGTATATAGACATATTTTAGAGTGTAGATTCACTCATTTTGCTTTGTATGTAGTCATTTGTTGAAATCTCTAAAAAGACAAATATTTAGGAACGGAGAGAGTAGGAGGGAGGGAGTACATCATAAATATCTGGCCCATCTCATTATCTCACGAGTTCCTAAGACCCTGTGTTGTAGCTGACTATAAACATATAGTTCACTTGCCTTCTCTCTCCTCCCCTCATTTCTCCAGCTCAGCACAAATAGTTATATAGTTTGCGCACGGTCGAATATCCATTTCGAGTCCAGGCTCACCTGCATCCGGTCAAGGAAAAAAAAATCAATTTTTTGCATGGTAGATAATTTGGTGCATGAGGTGCTTTCAAAATTTCAGATCATTTAGATATATGAGTAGCTCTCAACAAAAAAGACAAATTGGGTCAAAACAATACATGAACAATAAACTTTTTTATAGACCTTGAATTTGTCTTTTTTGCCGAGAGCTACTCAGGTGTCCAAATGATTTGAAATTTGGAGCGCACCTCACACACAAAATTTTCTTCCATACAAAAAATGGATTTTTTAAAAAAAATTCTAGTACTTTTATTTGATTTTTTTTGCATCGGGTGCAGATAAGCATGGGCACCGAACTGCTGCTCCCGCTCACGGTCACCTTATTATACTTCTCCAAGGGTATTTCCCTCTTTCCTAGAAAAGATGGTGGACTTTGGTACGTCTTAGACACAAAGTTGTCAGAATCGAGATTCGGAATTGGATCAAAGCTCCGTTGATAGGATCGTGAATCGTAGAATTATAAATACCAGGATCGTAGAAATTTAGATTCTATGAGCAAAATCATAGAATCGGAGGGGCTAGTTTGGATCGTAAGGTCGTAAGATTCTAAGACTTGAGTCGCGATTCTGATAAATTTGCTTAGACATATCTATAACTTTTGTTTGTTACATGCTATAATTGATCATTATTACATAAATTTTGCACCTATTTTTTTGGATTAACCTATTAATTTAGTGGCCGGTGTCAGCTCCTATTTTTTGTTGTTTCTGGACTTCTAAGGAAAACAATTTTTTGGAGACCAAAAAAATCGAGAACAAATACGACGAAGATTTTCAAGTCTAGAAGGGTCCAGGAAGCATCGGGAGGCTAAAAGGCATTGCCCGTGGGCCTCACTCGCTCCTAGCTCTCGGCCAGGGGCACGAGCCAGGTTTGCATGGGTCCCACTAGCATCCTATTCACAACCTCTTTCTTTTGCTGGCTTTATATAGTCCTGAGACCCTTTATCATATTTATTGAGGATATTTTCCGACGTCGCACCAGTATGTTTTGCGGGGATCCAGTCTGGAGGTCTTTCTCATCACGATCCAATCTGGCGGCCTTTTTTGATACTCTATTGGAGGCGGAATTCATCACGGCGACCATCTACATCAACCTTACTACCATCATACCCATGTGTGAGTAGTCTTCTTTAGACTATGGGTCAATAATAATACATAGATGACAATCTCTCCCTTATTCTTCAATAAAATGATCACATGAGCTGCCCTACATGATTGTGATTCATTTGATGTAATCTTCTATGATGTGTTTGTTGCGGTGTAATGAAATTCATTTATGATCACATTGACACATGTTTTATTCGTGGATTCATATGTGTTCTTTGCCACATAATTTATAGACATGTATGCTCTTCAATCTATTATTCTTGCATTGAGCATGTTTAGATGAATGATCTCTGAGAGGAAGCTGTGTATGTAAGTTGATTTCAATCTTGCAAGTAATCTACTGCAATGATAGAAAGTGGAAAAAGTTTGTATTGTATTGTTGCCACTAAGTATAAAAAGATAGTTGTGTAGTTCTCCCTTAAACGCGGGATAAAGACAATATAGCATCTACACATGCCATCATGCTTAATGCAATACATCATTTTACTTATATTTTGAGATGTATGTTTAATAGTGGTCTTGAGATGGAGTATTAGCTGGGTTTTTTTCATTGGAGGTGATATGGGGAACAATTATGTGCTGCTTATTGCGAGCCAAACAGCTGCTTCCCCAAATGGTGTTTGTGGTGTGCCGACCCAGTAGGACTTGGCTTGTCATGTTGACGTCACTCGAATGTCTTTCCCCCCTCTTCTTTACTTACTTATATTTCAAATGCATATGTTTCAGAAAGTTAAATTTACATAAGAAATTTAAAAACATGTATTTGAAAAGATGTTTACATACTATAAAACTATGTTAACACAGTTTAGAAAAATAATGATAACTTAAAAAATTGTTCCTCACAAAGAAATGTTCCCGTGTTTCAAAAAATTATATACGTGAAATTCTTAAAACTGTATATACAAAGTAAAAAATATTAGCATAATGTAAACAAACTGTACCATTAAAAAATGTACGTGACATTTTATGGAAATATTCCCACATTTGAAATCAAATGTTCGTGAGATTTAAAAAATGTTATATACAATGTAAAAAAAACTGTTCGCATAGGTTAAAAAATGATTATTCACATTAAGAAAATGTATGTGATATCTTAGATAAATAATCACGTTTTCCCCAAAACGCCCATGAAATTTACAAAATGGTTTATGCAATGTAAAAGAAATACTTGCGTAGTTTAAAAATATATTTATTGCCATTAAAAATGTACAACATGTGCTTAAAAAAGGTTACCATGTATTCTACAAAATGTTCAAAACATGTATTATAAAAATGTACATTAAGTATTTGAAAAATGTCCAAGGTATATTTCAAAAATGTTACCGTGTATTCAAAAAAATGTTCAAAACATGTATTACTAAAAATGTAGTACATCAATTATTTGAAAAATGTCCAACGTGTATCAGAAAAAACTTCGTGTGTCCTCTAAAAATATACATTGTGCACTAATTAAAGTAGACATGTTTGGAAAAAAGAAACCAAGAAAGCGAATAAAATAAAAAGGAAGTATTATAAAAAAGAAAGAAAACCCA